TGGGGAGAGGGTTATTTTGGGGGCATCATTTAATGGTAGAATGGATGTCTTCACCCCATGGATGGCATGTTGCCTAGAAGCTGGCCAGAAGGACTTACTGTTCATAAAACAATCAGATTATACCGTTGGGTGTTTTTTTTTTTGGATGTTATTTAAAGGGGGAAAAACAAACACCATCTAGAACATTATCTGATGAGCTAGAGAGTTGAAGAGCAGCAATGAAGCCTTTATAGAAGGTTAATGTTTAACCATTTGCAGCATAATGCAGAATATTACCTTTAAACAAGTCTGCAACCAATTTTCTTTGACAACAAAAAATAAAACTTGTCTGTTTCAGCATAAAATTGTCCAGTTGGGTTATGTATCTTTTCGCCCCCAAACAAAACAGTGGATTTGATCTAATTTGTTATCTACCTGTTTTGTTCAGGAGCTCAAGGTGGTAGATGTCCTTCCATTTTTACCTACAACAGAAACAGCAGCCCTGTGAGATAGGTTGGGCTAAGACAGTGTGACTGGCTCACCCAGTAAGCTTCCATGGCTGATGATGGTCTTAAAGTGGGTCTCCTTGGTGCCAGTCCAGTGCCTCAACCCCTAATGTCGCTTTTCTGGAAACTGATGCAAGCATTTGAATACATTTATCAGTGTTTACAGATGACAGGCTGATTAGGTATTCCTGGGAATAGTAATCTCAACACCGTGTGAAGGACACCTGTTTGGGAAAGGTGTCTTAATAGATGTTGGCATTTTTTCTTGTTTCTCACTATCGGGCATGCAGCCCCTGCTGCTTTTACATCTAGTGATTTAATTCCTTTGGCATTTGAAACTCAGTAGATGTTGAATAATTTGGTGACATGAGTGCTGTCTTCGTGTTGTTATTCAATGGTAATTGAATTTTCAAAGACAGCACACTCTACCACGCATATTAAAGGTAGGTTTGCACAATACATTCTTCCCATCAAACCTAATGCCATCCCACCCGGTGCCCCTGAGGTTTATCTGTACTTGCAAGCAAGCAACCAGCCAACAAAACTAAGCATAAAAGAGAGAGAGAGAGAGGCGTGCGCGTGCGCACGCTCCTGGGTTGTCTCAGATCATGTCGAGTTTCTTGATTTTAGGTTACTGTGGGAGATTGTGTTTAATTTAAATTAAGTTAAGGTCAGATATAAGGGCAAAATGACAGTTTCTTATTTAGTGATAAGGAGATGCTTGACACTTCCATGGTGGGGAGAAATTGGAATGGCAGTGCTAATGGATTTGGGGCCTTTTGGACAAGAACAAATTGGAGATTTGAGGTGTCTTTATAATACTGCCCATATTTAAAAATGTCCAAACAGAGCAGGGATGAGCAAGGTACCTGAGCCCCTTTTTGAGGCCTTTCGGTGTTCTAGAGCAAGCAGTAATTTAAATCTGAAATATGCTTTACACTAAGGTTATACAGGCTTCAAAAGTGATTCGTAAGAAGGACTTTGGCTGTTGTGTCTTTGCTGTATGTGTCTTTTTTCAGGTTTCTGCATGAGCCTGAGAAAAGATGCTGCTGCTTTAAGAGTCACCTTAGAGGTGAGCTGCTTAAATGATTCAGTTCATAGCAGCAGGGTTACTTCAGGTTCCCTGTAGAAAGACAAGCTGCTTTCATGAAGAGAGCTCCGGTGAGGTCCAAAACATTTCTTCCAAATCATTTTTGAGGTCTGTCTGGTCCTACTTTACATCAGCAATATCTCTCTTGAACCGAGTTGACTCCTGATGACTACATGAAGACACCCTTGTGGTCTTCTTGACAACCACATGGAAGTCGCTTGCCACTGCCACCTTCTAGGGTGTTTTTGCAACTTCCCAAGCTGGCCTACAAGCTTAGGCTTTCCTGATAGCCCCCCATCCCAATATTAACCAGGTCTAGCCCTGCTTAGCTTTTTTTTTTTTTGCAGTCAGCTAAGGCTGGATAAGTGCTGCCACCTTCTGTGACTTGCTTTGCATAGCATTAAAAAAAAAAGCATGAACACCTCACCCACACTCAAATCTAGAGGGAGAAAAACATGAAAATTCCTACTGCAGTCTTCAGCCCACTCAAAAAACATTAAGCTTAATCTCCCAGTCACTTGAAGTTTGTCTCCCCTTGACTGGGGCATCCTTCATCAGCTTGGAGTGCCCGAGAGAGCATCCCTGCCCCAACATTTCTCCCCCTCCCCATTCCATCTATTACCAGCTAAACCTCACTTCTCTTGCCGTGTGTCTGTTACTGCCTGCCTTTTTGTAGTCCGGTCACAGAAAAACTCCCGCTGTGTGGTTGCATTTTGCTTTCGCCCTCCCCTCTGCTCTGTGCTCCCATCCTTTCTCCAGCAAAGGGGACCCGCCAAAATGAGAGATTTTTCAAGTACAGGGAGATCCAGCGCCTGTCATTAGCTCCCATTGTTGATACATCATCTGCCACCAGACTGACTTAAGCAAGGAAAAATGAGAGAGAAGACTTATTCCCCTCTGATCATAACAAGGAAAGAACTGGATTGGGGAGGGGTGATGATTTCTCATTCAGCAGTTGCGGCAGTGAGAAATTATTTGAGGGCTGGGCAGTGGATTATGAAACACATCAAGCTGTCTCTGAAGATGGCAGCCCAACCTCAAGATTTAGCATTCCTGGAACATGTAGTGCAGCTTATACAATTGTTTTGACATCATCCCGTTGTGCTTCCATTTCCCCAGTGCAGAACATTGGCCTCCATAGGAAATGCCCTGAATTGGTCTGTGTTTTCCAGCAGCGGTCCCCAAACACAGTTTCCAGAAGTGTTGAGCCATCTGGCTGGGAGTGGTAGTACTCACGCATCTGAAGGATGCTGGGTAAGATCAAGGGGAGGACTCAACATGAAACTTCTATTTTTACTGTCTTCCCTGGGTTGCTGTTTACATGTAGTTTTGTCCCCAGGAAATGTGTGTGGACTTGCCATTTCCTTCAAAAGACGCTCATGTGTTGATGATGTGCTCCTCTGGTGTCGCTGAAAGATTAAGTGGTGTTTGGTGTTTTTCTATCTGTGTCTTTCATGCATTACAATAGGGCTGATTAATTGGAAGTGAAACGTTACAGACAAAGCCCTGGCCAAGCTCTATGGCCTGTTATTAACTAGCGGCATGCGAAGAACTGGCCAGAACTACGTGACCTAACTTGTCTTTCGCTGTGGCTAGGCTGTTGATATAAGAGCGCCCTCTGCAGGACAGGTAGGGTCATTGTGTCAGGAGAGAAATACGATCAGTGGAAAAAGCTACAGAATGGGCATTCAGATGAAAACCAACTGCGTTTTTGTTTTTTCTCTCTGAAAGAACTTGGGTGGTTTGCAGACTTGAAAATTGGAAGAAGTAAATTACTAGAGGAAAGGTGAATAAGAGTTTGAGTAAATCAGATGTCAAAGATTTCACAGGGGTGAAAGAGGACTTGCAGACTAATCCTGTCCTATTTTTTATAAGAGTCTTGTTGGCAGGTATGGCTGGCCCTTTGCAGGCCCTCAGCCCTCTGTGTGCAAATGTAGAAGCCGTTTTTCAAGACTAACTGCAGGCTTATTAGAACTGGTTGAATAAGATAAATTGCCTCCTGTTACGTAAATATATAGAACTGTCCATGTCAAATTGAAGGATTTGGGGAGATTCTTGGAAGGCCATCTGGTCCAGTCCCTGAAGATCAGTGCAGAACAGAGCTGTGCTTTGGATTTGAAGGTAAAAAGATGGTCCTGGGAAAAGATGTGTTTGGTTCAAAGTGCTACAGGCACTTCCTCACATGTTCTGAAGTGCCTTTTTGCTTTTGAGTCTGAAGCACTGCACAGCACTAATGCAGAACTTAGAATTCCTGCTTTGCTGATAGACAAACCAGCCAGCCTCTATCTACATACCTCCAGGGAGAAGAGCATCTCCCATCTCCCAAGATAGTCTGATCTGTTGTCAAACAGCTTTCCAATGTTTTTCCTAGAGTTGAATGCTGCTTCCTGTCTTAACATTCAGTTGAAATCATCCTAACCTTTGCTTCTACCTGTGCCCTCAAGCACAGGGGAGAACTAGACTGCTCCATCTTCTGTGAGATGGCTCTTCAGGTCTTCGGCAATGTCTGCAAAAGCCTGTGTGGGACCCTCACATCCCTTGTGGGACGAAATCCATATGTGGGGGGTGGGAGTTAGCATCCTTTGGACCATTTTCAGTTGATTGATCTCAGACTCTCAGCAGCGGAAGGAGAAGACCCAATGCTGCTAGGGAGGAGAAAAGAAGGCTCATGTGAAGCCAAGGAAACTGGGATTATTTATTTTGTATCTATACTGCTGGGCTCAGAATCAAGAAAGGAATCACTTATATGTTTATTCATTTCATTGTATTTTCTTCCTGTTACTCCTTGAAGGGGCTCTGTGTGGTATTAAGAATCCCTTCCCCTGCCCCTTTATCATCACAACAATCCTGTGAGGTAGGATAGGTTGAAAGGAAGGTGAGAGTGACTGGTCCATGGTCACCCAATAAGTTTCATGGCTGAACAGGGATGTGGACTTGGGTTTCTTTTGCCTTAATTCCATCTTCTAATGGCGTTTAACACATCCTCTTACAGTGGATGCTGTCACCCTGTGTCCAGTGGTAGTATTAACCCCTTTCCCATAGTGCTTTTCTACTCAGAAACTCTCCCTCCCCCCTCCCTCCCTCCCTCCCTCCATTCCTTGTGGGTGGGTAAGAAGGCAAAGCGTTTTCGAAGAGAACACTGTATTTCTTTAAAAAAAAGGGAGGGGGCCATTTTTGATGTAGCTGATCAGGCAATTGAAAGGTGAGAAGGTGGCAAGTTCTGGAAAGGTATCCAGACCTGTCCACTTTCCTTGAGATCATCTTCTCACTGCAATGGCAAATATCTGGAATATAATTTCTGGCCCATTGGCTCATTCTTGAGGGGGTGGGATTGGGATGAGAGATGCTCTATGGCAGATGACCCAAGGAAAGAAGTTTCCCCCAGTCTGCTTATTCTCTTGCTCTCATTTTTTTTTTCGTTTTGCAGGTTGCGGTACATGGTGAAACAGCTGGAGACAGGAGAGGTGAATATCGAGGAGCTGAAGAAGAACTTGGAATATACAGCTTCTTTGCTTGAAGCGGTTTATATTGATGAGACCAGGTGCGAATGTAAGGGTTGGAAAGCCCTGTGGGTGTCTGTCTGGTCCAACACTATTCCCCTCCTTCCCCCTAAAAAAAAAAAAAAAAGCCAGAATGAGTGCCATTGGATAGCCTGGCCATCCCTGAGCTGAACACCCTCCAGACTAAGGGACTTCAGTTTCTATTGAACATTGCTGAAAATTCTGGAAGTTGGTCTGTGCATTGGAGAACACCCTGGTTGAGGAAAACTGGGATAAAATGAGTGAAGGGGAGTTCATAGGCCAACAGAGACTGTTTTGGAAGACAGGCAGTAATTTGAAGACGGTGTTTGGTGTCACGGCTTGGATGTTGGCAGAAACTCTGCTGGGTTGCGCCAGCTCTCAAGGCCTTTATTGGGAGGATCTTCCTGTGAATTCCAGTTCATGTTGGGACTGGAGAGAGTTATGGTTCCCCCTAGTGGCAGACTGACATATGAAGAGCTCGCCAACCTTGGATCCATTGAATTCAGAGAGTCAATTATCTAAGTCACAAAGCTCACTCCTCAGTTATCTCTTAAATTATATAAAACAATTTCTCCCAGACAAGTAAAGGCACATTAGAAGACAGAGACCTAATCTCTTTCTAGAGTCCAGAGATGTACTAATGGCATTTCCCTATTACTGAGTTGTTCTTCATCCATTCTTAAGTTGTCAGAAAACAATACCACCGTGAAATTTGCTGTCCCCATTATTGATCCCTCTTTGGCCTTTATTCTTGTTGTTCCCAGTTGCTATCAGTCACCTGACTTCCTTCCAAAGTCATGGTTGGAAACCTAATAGCTTCACCCACCTTGTAGCTGCTCTTGGACCTTCAGAATAAGGGAGAACACACTACTTTAGCGTGGGTACAGCTAAAAGGACTTAAGGCCATCTCACTCATGGGCTGGTGTAGGCAGTGTTATGGAGACTTGGTGAAAAAAAATGATGATGATAAAGTGTGTGTGTGGTTAGTGAAAGTGGGGACACGCCCTAAGAAGAACTCTCAAGTGCTCCCTAGTTGGCAGCTGTCCAGATCTATGCAGCCTGATCTACCTGTATAGACAACTTTCTGGCTCTTTCAGAAGTTATAACCAGGAACCTGGCTTCAGTGCTCTCCTTCCTCCCCATCTGCTTGTGTTTGTGAAAACAGGGCAAGCAGAAAGGAAAGAAGGTAGGAATCAGATTCCACAAGAATTCAAACTGGGAAGTGGTGTTTGAACTGGACTAATTGAGGGAGGGCTTGCTCCCCACTTTTTTTTCCTGTGGGAGGAATAGCAGGCATGTCATTACCTGTGGAATGCAATTCAATCTAAAAGAAATTTGGAGAACTCTCTTGGATTTAAAGAGTTAAAGGCCCCATAATTTCATTTTTTAAATTCTTTTTGACATTTACAAGATAATCCGGTGTTGAAAATCAGGCTAAGTGCCGGTTTTACTGTTGTTCTCTGGGCTTCTTTTTTATTTTGGGGGGGGCAGTGTAATTGCAGCTCTGGTCTCCTATTGTGATGCGTATCGCTCCTAATTGCTTCTCATCCATCCTTCCTCTCCCCACTGGCACCATTCCTGTTTCAGGAAGATTCTGGACACAGAAGATGAACTCCAAGAGATCAAGTCTGATGCCGTACCCTCTGAAGTCCGAGACTGGCTGGCCTCCACTTTTACCCAGCAGACCCGGGCCAAGGGGCGCCGTTCGGAGGAGAAACCCAAGTTTCGCAGCATTGTGCATGCTGTTCAAGCTGGCATCTTCGTGGAAAGGTTTGGCTCTTCTTCCCGCTCCCTGGACTGCCTGGAATTAGAATAAAATAGGGTGTAAGGAATGAGGGACTATAGTTGTGGGGTTGAATAAGGAATGTTTCACAGGAGATGACAGAGGGAGGAGAATGCTTTGCTCTAGCTTAGCTTTTCCCAGCTGAGAACTCCATCTCTGATTTCTTGTACTGCAGTTTACCAAACCCCTATTGGCATAGTTAGCCATGCTGGCTAGGGCGGATGGAAGTATAGACCCCTTAGGAGGGCATCAGGTTGGAGCAAGGTGGCCAGATGGACAACTTGGGTCTGACTGCATTTCTGGGGAATCAGTGCATGGAGGTGTACTTTAGTTCTCTTTTAGGAAAGGGGATTGAGATGATGAAGAGAAAAGGAGTGAGTGGAAAAGAGGAAATAGAGCGAATTGCATATAATATTGGTGAAAATAACATGTGAAATATATTAATTTAGAATGAGCCCTGTGAGTCTGGGGAATCTGTGGATGGGTCTGGAACACTACTGGGCCACTGACCTCTAGTATCTCTGTGGAAGAGGCTCAGATTCAACATGCCTGAAATTTATTGCCCAGCCTGGGGAAAGCTGAATGCTCCTTGCATGCTTGATGGGATCTGGAAGCCATTTCTAATGGCAAGTAAGCCAGATCTCCCAGGGACTGTCTAACTGTGTGTCCTCCATTGTGCAGGATGTTCCGTCGAACGTACACAGCTGTGGGACCCAATTATTCTCCCTCGGTCATCAATTGTCTGAAGGTAACAACCCTGCTGGGGGGATTCTGATAACAGTGCTGTGCTATCTGTGTAAGTCTCTGCTGAATGTAATAAGGCTTATATCCTGGTAAGAGGGCACAGGTTCCCAATTTTTACATCTGTGATTTTTCCTGCTTGAGAAGAGGCTTCTGTCATCCACCCCACCCCAATTCTCAAGGTTACTTTCACCCATCACCTCAAGCCATCCATTGAGCAGATATTTATCAGTTACACTTTTCTAGCTATTCCCTTTTATATGGTCTATAAAAAGGACACCGGAGACAAGCCTTTCCTGAAAGTCCTAGTTTTGACCAGGAATCAATAATCCACACCGTTGGGGTTAATTAATCACTGTAGAAGGAAGAGGCTTAGAGAAATCCTTTTTGATACATGTTATAAACCACCTGGAGTCATTTGGAAGAGGGTTGTATATAAACGATAAATGAATGTGTGTACTGTGTGTGCACAATGTGTGTGTGGATGGATGGATGGGCAGACAAACAGACATATTTGTTAGGGGAATGATTAATGCCTGGAGGTGGATTTCTTGGCTCACATTAAATCCCATCTAATGGCCTTTTTTAAAAAAAATTCCTTTTCTTTTGGAGCCTTGCCCCATTTTTTCCCCCTTCCTGCACCAGCTGTAAGTTCTTTGCTGAGTGGTAACAGCAGAGCTCCTCTCGTGCTCCATCTCTCACTCTGCCTCTGCTTTTCTTGCTAGACTCTCGACCTCTGGTTTTTTGATGTCTTTGCACTGAACAGGGTGAGCGAAGACCATGCCTTGCGCACAATTGTCTTCGAGCTGCTCACCCGCCACAATCTCAACAGCCGCTTCAAGGTAAAAAACCTGAATGGGTACGAGCACGTGCGTGTGAGCGTCGTGTGCCTGCAGATTAAATCGTCTTTCAAAACTGAGAAGTAAGAGCAGCCCACTAAATATTGGTTGCTTTGAAAGCAGAAGTGGGGGTGTATTTTTCTTGCTGAGGGCCCTATTTTCGTAAGGGTGATCTTTTGAGGTGCTGCAGGCCAAGGTCTGGAGCCAGAATGCTCTGTGGGCAGATCCAGAGTCAGAAGTGAATGGGGTCATTTCTCTTCTTTCCCCCCTTTTTCCCCAACCGAAGGATTGCCAGGGAAGGGACTGACCACTTTGGGTAAAGGTTTTGAAAGTAGGCTGAGGGCTAGAGACTGCCCATCCCTCTTTTACTTTGCCAAACTCCCAACAGAGTCAAAAAGATAAAGCCTCCCTTGAATATGGCCCTTGCTGCTCCCCCCAGAAATGGTTTGCCATTGTCTTCTTTCAGAATATATTTTTGACTTTCCAATCTCTCCTGGGATTTTCTGTTGGTCTCCTTTCCAAGTATGAAGCAGATCTGATCTCACTTAGCTTTGTTTTGAGATCAGTCAAGGTTGGCCAGGTGCTGCAACTTGCTGGGACTCCAGCAGGATAGCCACAGTAATTTTTTGCACTGAAATACAATAGAAGTTAAATGTGTTGTTTAAATTACCAGGGCTTTTGCGGGGGAAGGCTACAGTAAAGGAAACCTGATTGAAACCGAACCCCTGCAGAAGTTTTATACTTGAGCACTCATCATCCTTCACGGGCATAGCCAGTGGCATAGAATTATTGGACTGGTAACCAACTGCCTCTCCTGAATTGAATGGCTCAAAGTTTTCCAGATGAGATGCTGCTTTGATGATAGAGTGTGCTGAACATTCATGATAAGGCTACCGTTGTCTTCCTCTACCTTTAAAACTTCCACTTTGAACAAATGCTAAGCCGTAATTTGACTTGCCAGTATGGACCACCCAGGTCACTCTGGCTTTTTCAACAAACTATGGCTTATTGTGATCCCAATCATCATTTGCTAGGAGCTCCAGCCTGAAAGTTTAATTTACAGGAAGAGAATGGCAATCTGATACCCCAAATAGTAAAGCCTTAAAGGGAAGGAAAGAAATTTGCCCAACAGCTTCATTCAGAGAGGTTCTTTACTGGAAGGGATGTTCCTTATTTTAAGGGACAGCCTATATGTTAATCGATCATCCTTTTAGCATCTCATGTAAAATGTAAAAGGATGCCCCAAATTTATGCTTCCTTAGAACAGAAGGGTCATATTTTTTTCATTCCAGGTACATCTCTGATAAATGACCCTCAACTGTGGAAGTTTCATCTAGCTACATATAACACTGTACTGACATTTGAGGAAATGGTCTTTTCAGCAACAGTAATAAAAGCACCGTGCTCATTTGACTGAGGAACAAAACAGCCATGTGATCCTCTGCATTTAAGCTGCGAACGGTTTCTCAGTGCTTTCACTGAAATCATAAGGATGAATTGCATTGGAAGAAAAGAAGCTGGTGCAGTAGGTCAGTGTTTTTCAAACTTGGCAACTGTAAGATGTGTGGACTTCAACTCTCAGAATTGCCATGCTGGCTGGGGAGTTCCGGGCGTTGAAGTCTACACCTCTTAAAGTTGCCGAGTTTGAAAAACACTGCAGTAGATCATTTATATTAAAAAGGGATTCTTACTCTGCTCAGGAGCCAAGATTCAAGGGTTTTTAGCTCAATCTCCAGCATCTTCAAGTTGGACTGGGAAAGACCCGTCTAAAACACTGGAGAGCCACTACCACTTCAGGCAGATCACATTTCACATCTGTTGGACTGCAGCCCCCACCATCCCAAACCAGATTTCCTATGCTGGCTCAGGAGTTATAGTCCAACATAACTGGAAGACACTCCTTGGAAAGGCTAATACAGATGACACCATGCTAGATGGACTGACGGTCAGATTCAGGAGAAGTCACCTTAGCTTGTTCCTGCTTCCAGATTCTGGGGCCACCCTGTCTTTTTGTCGTTTTTCAGATCCCGACGGTGTACCTCATGACTTTCCTGGATGCACTGGAGGCTGGTTATGGGAAATATAAGAACCCTTATCACAATCAGATACATGCTGCTGATGTTACCCAGACTGTACATTGCTTCTTGCTTCGCACTGGCATGGTGGTGAGTCTACTGTGTGGACTGGGTGCTTCCGTGAATGTCCCATTTGTTCACCTTTGAGCTGGGAGGTATTAATATTACATGCTTAGAAAATTAATTCTGGTTTCCTGTGTCTGGAGAAACTGCAGAGTCCTGGGTTTTAGTCCATGACTTTCTGCTGGGCTGATGTGAACTACCTAGGACAGATCCCAGGAATGAGAATTCCATGCTGTTTTGCTTCCAAATTACTCTTTGTCAAAACTCACTGAAACTCCATGCATGAAACAGTGACATAAACAACACAGTGCCCTCTAGAGGTCTCCTCTGTTTAGCACTAAGCTAAACAGGAAAACGGGTTGCAGTCAGCAAATGTTCACTCAGTGAATTGGGCTTTTCGCAATGTGTTCCTCCTCCCTCTTCTTTCATTTCAGAATGAGGCTGTGTATCTGTAAAAATTGGGCAATAAGCAAAAACTCGACAGGTTATAGTACAAGAGGAATACAATGTTGTAATTAAAATATAGAATCATATCAATAAAAAACAAACAAACCTTGGAATAAATCAGTAACCTCACCAACTAAAATCCATTCCAGCAAATAAAACATCTTGAAAACCAAATCTCTCTGAAAATTCTGGCTGTTGGGAATTCCCATGGCAGGGAGTGAGAAGTTCCAGTGAGGATGAGGCAGAAGGAAGGGCTTTTCCCAGGATTCTTAAAACCGGGATCAACTTATATGGGAAAACACAGCTTTTCAGTTAAGCTGCTTCCCAGTCCTGTATGGCTTTGAAGGTCATAGCCAGCAATTGGGATCATGCATGGAAGTGATGCCAGCTGAAAATGCTGGCAGTCATATTCCCAGCACACCTAGAAAGCATAAGTTTTGAGAGGCTGACTTAAGGTATCAGATAACAGACAGTTTCTTTCAGATAACACAAAGCCACATTTGTGATAGGAATCCTGAGCTGAGAAATGGAATCTGTCCTAGGTGGGAGCAGAGTTATATATGAAAGGACATACCTAGCCACACTTACACACCAAAGAGCAGTAAGATGCCTGTCCTTCTGTACCTTGTTGCTGCTTCTCTTTTGCCATGCAAAGTGCAATTGGGCTATAGTGTCTGTTTTCAGGAATGAAGGTTTTAAGTCAGAATCTGAGCCCCTGATAGGACAGCAACGGATGTAGAAGGGTTGTGGAATCAGAGGGATCTGGTCATTGGGATGACCCTATATTGCAGAACCTATCCTCCATTTATGATGGCAAACATCTGGAATTATTCCCAGACATCACCCTTTCATTCCTACAGGTGCTGACCATCTCCCCTGCTTTTTCTTCCTCTACAGCACTGCCTGACAGAGATTGAGGCCCTGGCCATTATCTTTGCAGCCGCAATCCATGACTATGAGCACACGGGTACCACCAATAGCTTCCACATCCAGACCAAGTAAGTAATAAAGTTGCATAGATGTTCCGTTGCTAACCTTACAGTGTCATTTTAGAGGAAAGAAAAGTGCTGAAAGACCTGTGGAATGCACAATAACAATAAGTCAACTATGTTGGTTACTTGAGGCTTCCATGGCCTCCTTTTGCCATGCAATTAAGGATGAACCAGTGTAGGCCATTGTACTGAGTATACTTGGATTTAACCAAAATGTTGGA